CATCGTTTTTAAATATTGAGAAAGTTTTCTGAAGGGTTTTACAGAGACCGGATCTCTGAAAAACTCAGTGGAAAACTTTTTCAAAACCCAACTCTCATAGCATTAGAAAGAGGATCATGAAAAACCTATAAAAAAATGGTTCATGAAATTTTAGTTCACTCATAAAGCTAAAGTCCGCTTGCTCTAGCTAAAAATGCCCACTGTGCGCTATGGTAAAATCTTGTACAGCGAACGGATGCACTAGTCTAGAAGGATTATCCTGTCATCATAAATCATATATTTATGGAACTTTTTACAAGTTTCATAAGATTTTTCATTTTTATGGAACTTCTGGGTTAAAAAATTCATCATTCAAGTTTCATAAATGTGTGATTTATGTTGTTTCAGGTTTAATTAATTAGTTCCTTAATTAATTGTAGTATTAACATGTCACATAGAGACATATACATTATATGATTGGTATATGTCACGTAGAGATGTGTGTTTGTGGTGTTTTAATTGAAAATAATGATTTATTTAATTAAAAACAGTATCAATATGTCTCTAGGTGCTATGTGAAGCTCGTAGAGACACAGTGACTCAACCAAATAGAGGTGCTAATATCTCACCAAGATAGGTATGAGTTACTTAGAGACATAGAGTGATTCAAATAAAAATATAGAATTTTATTCTAAAACTGTATATACAAGTCACTATATGAGATGGAAGTCTCTCAGAGACATATGCTTACTCGTACAAAAATTGGTATTTTTATTCCAACAGGGCTATGAATAAGTCTCTAAGAGACATAAGTCTCAAAGAGCGTCTCTTAGAGACATGTCCAAACTCTTTTAGAGGACTAAGAAGTTGTGTCTTTGTTGTGAAAGTGTAGAAGGTAAATTCAAGCGTGTATTAGAAAAACACGTTTTGTAAATGTAAAAAATATTTTTTATTGAATAGTAATAAACGTTAGTATAGTTATTAGTTTAAAGTATGACTGTTGCTGTGTGGCTACTTTCATAAATTGGGGAGTTTGTCTATTAAGAAGCGTAGTAAGTTTGTATCCGATATGTCCGTATATCTGAACGGGAGAGATATGTATAACTTTGTGAGTTATGAGTCACTCAGTGACATTTTCTAAATAAATCAATTGAACAGAAACTGTATGTTTTATTTTAAAAGGACTAAAAATCACCCTCTCAGAGACCTATACGTTGCTCAGAGACATATTCTTTTGATATTAAAGAAGCTCAGCGACAGAGATTGATTTCTCTACTGTTCACCATCCGTCACTATGAGACTTATTATAATATACTACTGTAAAAACCTTCTTAGAGACATATGCCATTACCTTAATTCATCAGTCAAATCAATTTAATTAATAACCATAGATCTGTTGGAGACATGTGCTAATTAATTAAGAAAAATTTTCTCTGAGAGCCATGTTAAACTTTTTATGAAACTTGTAAAAAGTTTCATAAATGTGTGATTTATGAAACTGGATTTATGAAGACAGGATATCCCGTCAAGGATTTAAACAGATGTTGTTTTTTACGTATATGTTCCCTCTATTTACGTGGGTTTTCCCCATCTTTCGCTTGTTTACAGAATGTCAGCAGTCAGATTTTTCCCACTTTCTTTGTCTACGTGGAGTGTATGACGCGATTTTGTGGAATGATTTTACCTTCGCATTTGTGTACGAAGAATTAGCGTTTGAGGATCATTGGAAAAAATACTGGCGAGCGTGAGAACTTACAACTGATGGTGCCCTCTTATATGAACCTTATGCGTTAAATGTGTATAGAGCAGTAGCTGCTAAAAGTATTTGTTATTAGAAAGCTTTTCCGTTCAAAACGTTTTGTTCCACACTCTTCTGTTATTCAAAAATGTGCTATGTGGAGTTTTAAAAAAATGACTGTGATAACTCTATCCTTGAGTTATCTGAAACAGTTTGACAATTTTTGTGCATTTCCTGATTCGTTTTTGTGAACTGTTCTCTCTCTCTCTCTCTCTCTCTGCCTATCATATCTTCTTTTTAACTTCTTAACTTTTTACGTGTATTGTTAAGATTCTTTTTCGTGATTATCTTTAGAGGCCCAATAGGGCAAAAACAAAAGCATAACACACAAAAATAATAATGAGATAATGATTTCGTGCAGACAACGAATTACAACGTAATAGGGCAGAGATTATTAATCAATTTTTTTACCGTCATAAAACTTTATATATTTCTCCTTGTGATCCTGATTTACTGCAACAAAAGTTTTGTCTGTGGACGAGCGTGTACACTTACAAAGAATACTGAAACATCAAACTAAACAATACTTGAGTGACAAGAAATAGGCATATGCAACTAAATGAGTTGAACCAAAATCTTTTTTTATTGACAATTCTCGCTATCTTCATAGGTAGAACAGAGTAACAGAGACTAAGAATGCAAACATAGTATTCTGCCTGATTAATACATGACTTTAACTAGATATCTGATACAAAAATCTTGTTTATTGTCGATCGGATATATCAAGAAGTGCTAAGTTAACGAATTCTCTCTGTTTTGACTCCGTGTTTTAGTCGTCTTTTTTTAGCTGTATACGACTACGTGCATAAAGAAATACCACGTTAGAAAAAACTTATCATTTTCTAGTAGAGAAACGGCATATAGTTTTATCTAATATTGGGTTCTTTAAACAGTTAATACAATGTGAAAAAGAACTGATCAAAATCAGCGAAGTTGTCCATACTTCGATTGACGAATAAATGAGAGAAAAATCAAGTGGAAAGGTTAAAAGTTAGTGAACTTCGACAACATTTTCGTTTCTGTCCTCTTAAAGTCACGTGCGTACATTTTCAAAAGTGTTTGCTTATTGACGTTATTGAGAAAGAGCATATAAGCACAGATTTTTATCCAAGAAAATAAGAGCTTTTCAAAACTTCTTTGATAATTCAGATGTAGGATACGGACTTATGTGTCAATGACTGGAAATCAGAAGAGCACAACAATGCGGTTTTCAGGCTTCACAATGTATGCGGCCGTACTCATCGGAACTTTTGATTCCATAGTACTCCTTATATGTTAAAAACGCGGTAACGTATCCGTTTCTAGCATTTTTCGCAAAAATCCTACATATTGACTAAATTTTCCACATAAAATACACACACCCGGAAATTTTTGTAGTTCCAGCACTAGTGGTTTCATCTAATTAACCATGTAATACAGATATGAACGATTTCTAGTTCACGAGAACGATGAAGTTAATCATCTCTAAGGCGAAATTATTATTCTTTTACTCACGTCACTCACATGTAGACAGACGCTTCAATAAGCAGATGAATCGGTCGATGTCGCTCCCATTAGTTGAATATCGTAGAAGGAATTTCTTTGGTAGCGAATCATTTGGTATAAATGAATATTAGTGAATCAGTCATACCTTCGCACTTTACACATAGACGTGTTTCTTTTCTCTTTTTCATGACGTCATGACGATCTCCATTACATATTGAAAGATGAAAAACGTCAGATACTATTTAAATAACATAGTGAAAAACGAGAGAGTGTATATATTTAGTCTTAAACAGATCAAATCTCGAACTCAACTTTTACTAGATAAAATGGATTTGGGCACTTTTGGTGAAACAGAACAACAGAATGGAACGTTATTGCGTATGATGAGAAACGTTGGTATAAATGATGTGGGTGAATATGTTCAACAGTATAAGCAAACATCGAGAGAAAGTGGAGATGAACAGTATTTTGAAGAAGTTAATCATCAACAGCACCAAAATCCGATCGTTGGCTCATTTAGTCATGAGAGTGAGAAGAATGATAGCTCACCAAGTAGTGGTAGTCGATTCGGCAATCATTTGAGTAACGCAAAGAAGGTGTATGAAATGATTTCAAAGAAAAGTAATGATGGAAAAAGTGGTTCTGGTGGTGGTAATGCATTAAGTAATGCGAAACAAATGTATCAGTTGTATAAAACATTTGACAAGAACGGTGATGGAAAAATCACTGTTGAAGATGTCCAGTTACTTTTACAAGAAATAGGATTTGGTTTTGTTAGCAAACATTTGGCAAAAGCATTATTTGATCTCGTTGATTCGAACAGAAATGGCGTTCTCGATTTTCATGATCTGATGGCATTAACGAGCATCTTGAAAAAAGTGTTGAATAGCAAAAGTGCTCCAACGTAATTATATCACTTTCGTTGTTATTTCAGTCTTTGTCACTTCTTGTATCTTTCTTTTTATACTTTGCTGATTAGACTACTATTTTATGAAGAAACTTTTAGTTTATGCGTTTCTGTCAAAGAGTAGTTCACTTATTTTTCGAAGAAGATAGTGGTAGTAGACTTCAATTCTAATAATGAACCTCTTCTGTAAATTTTTTGCTTTACTTATGGTAGATTCAAAGTCTAGAGGAAATACAATTTCTGGAATTTTTTTGAACAATGTTTTAAAACAAAATGACTATATGACGAAGCCTGGTCTTCCGCTCATACGAAAGGAGAAACAAAGTTCAAGATTGTACATTTATCATTCATCGTCATCTATAATCTCGTGACCACCATCGCCAGCTTCATAACCAGCACCACTAGCTCCGTGACCTCCACCACTGGCTCCGTAACCTCCACCACTGGCTCCGCGACCTCCACCACTAAACTGACCGAATTGACCACCTACTTTTTGCAAAAGAGTTGTTAATGCCAACAAATCTGTGAAATCAAGGACGCCATTATGATTACTATCAACCTGTGTAAATAGAGTCTGTGCCAGGAAGGGTGACACGAATCCTAAACCCATTTCATTCATATAAGCTTGAAGATCTTCCACCGTGATTTTTCCGTCGCCATTTTTGGGATGTCTTCAGAAATTATGCGTTTTATTCAACATTTTAATATCACTGATATTGATACTAATGGATAATGCACTTAGTATCCCCACCAATATGATAATGTAATAAACTGATGTTTGATGTCAAACGATTTATATAATTGATGCATCTGTTGAACATTCTGGTATGTTCCACCTAAAAATGAAGGAAATAGAGCAAAAAAGCTGGGCGAAATCACTCATTATACTGACTTAGATTATTAAGAAAACCGCCTTCGCCACCACCTCCACCTCCACCTCCACGTCCACCTGAGAATGCTTCAAACACTTTTTGTGCACCTTGAAAAAAATTGCTGGAATTTCCACTTCTTAGTGTAGCATCCCCGTCAGTTTCTTCCTCAACATTTTGACGAAATTGCTGGACATACTGCCCAACATCTCCAATACCAACACCCTGTAACATCTTACTGAAATCCATTTTATCTGGTATCAAAACGTTTCAATAAAGTTTTTTTCGATAAGTTTAAAAATACGTTAAATGCATGATGGCTACTAATATATCTGTCCATATCTTAGTATTTAGTCAACCATATCGACAAAATCACTTTCTTGATTTTGTTCACGACAATAACAAAAATAGAAGGTAAATTATTTTTGCAAAATATCCGAGGTAAACAAAGTTTCGTGCAAAACATCTGACATATTCCAGTGATACTTATTATTCATTCATAGTGTAAAAGTTTTTGTCAGCTTAACCTAAAAGTTTAGTGAAAAATACTATTATCTTCATCGAATGTAAAATATATAGCCAATACTTTAACATTTAGTTTACGTGTGTGGTACGCATTTTCCGATAGAATAAAATGCACGTTAATGTATTTTGAGGGATTTATCGTAAAAATGTCTAAGATAATAACCCATTATCAAAAACATGATAAAATAAACTTGGCAATGTTCAGCAAAAGAAAACGCAAGTATTTTGATCTTCACGTTTACTACTAGTGTCTTGATCATGTGCATTGAAATTTTGTGGTATAATATCGCTCTAAATCTTCTAGTAACATCTTTAGATCAAAATTCGCTTCTACACTCTCAATAATAACATCACAGATTAATTTTTCTTTCTCAGTCAAATGCATGTCTGTTTCTGATATTTTCAATCGACAGCTTAAACCTTTATTATTCACTTCAGCATTATCGGCGGGGTATTTTTTTTGATCGTTTGTCATTGGAATGAAACCATAACAACTGAAATGTGAATAATCTTTATTCTGTCGATAATATTTTGTAACATAATGTTTTGTTCTATTGTTATCATCCGGTATTTTATTCCAGCAACCACCTAATACTGTTACTGAATGGGTATTGAAATACGCGATGATGTAATTCATTGAATCAATTGCATTACCAATACCTGGTCGTCCGACAACTAATATGGGAGCTTGTAATAATAAAGCAACATCAGCATTAGAAACTCCACAAACAGAGCCCACCGCCGGATATCCCACGCCATCGACTAATACTAATTTTTTTCCTTTACTAATTTCTGTTACAGCTTGCTTTATTTTTTCATGTCTTTCATTCACTGTATCAGGTGCAGTGCCATCAATACATTGTTGTGTGTAACCCTGATAGAAGATAATTGGTCCTAGACTTTGATGAGCTATTGAATTTATTTGACAATATTTACAAACTAATTGAACATCCTCACATTGAGTGCACGGTTTGATATAGGCAAGTTCAGAAGATATATAACTACCAGATTTTAACAACATGGCTAATATTCCCATGGCAATACTCGATTTTCCTACACCAGACTGATCACCACTTATAAATAATAGACGTGATTCAAATGGTTGTACTGCTAAGCTAGACATATTTAATGTTAACTGAATATTTCAATTTATTCTGGAAGGGCAAAGCGAATTACATAAATTTTTGGTATTTTTGTTTATGTGACAGCATTGCCATGTAGTAGAAGGTAATAGTCCATACTTTTACACTTTCTACCTTAATATTTGCCCATTTTTCTTTCAGTACAAATTTCTTCCTTTCTGTTGTTATTACTATTATTACTCATAAGTATAGTTGACAAATAATTGCACATACTCACACATTATCATGAGTTTTATTTTATATGACTAACTATATGAAATGTAAGAAAAATTCTCACTTTTGTTCGAAAAAATCATCATGCTACTAAAGAAAATATAAATTGATAATGGAATATTAAATAGTACCATATATTGTGCTATTTCGGTACTCTTTGATATGTATACATACTGAAGAAAAAAATGTTTGCTTGGATACATGTACAGTGTCATGCAATAAGGATTCAACGAAATAAGGATTGTACAGTTGGGAAGGTTTCGTTTAAATGCGCCGGGTATGCTATGCCTTCACATGGATGTGAATCGATGTTTTTACATTAATAGAATAAAGTAAAAAGAAACCAATTCTATTTAAGCTATTCCAATTGTTGTATTTGCGCTCTTAAATGATAAACGAGATATCACGGTCTTTTAGTGTCTAATCATTCTCAACCTATTCAATAAATATTGGACTAGATGTTAAACATAGTTATGATTATGGTTACTGTTGGTGTTGATTATTTTTATAAAGTAATCTAAGAAATATAACAATGGCTGATATTATGGACAGCGTCATTGTTGTCATGCAACAGAATTTTATAAATCATTCATAATCTTTGATTCGATCTCATTTACCGTCTGTTATTGTTTCATATTTTGACTAGCCCTTCTATAACTCAATCCTCAATGACATACAAATAGCTTTCAAAGTGGATAATATACAAAAACTATTTAATAATTTGGCAATTAGTATTACTGAGTGCGTATTGGTTACACTCAAATTCTGATAACTCTTAGTATACAAAATAGCTTCCATACTCTCATTTGTTATCATGGATATGAAGAGAGAAATCAATGTTGATTTGAAATAACTTTCAGTTAATAGCAGAATAGACATTTCTGGTAAAATCTGACGTTCATAAACCGAAAGAGGTGGTGTTGCAAGATTGGTTAGTCTAAAAAAATGAAGTTTAAATCATTCAAATCATCTCTTCTCTATCAGTTCACAGATCCGAGATTTGAACTTAAGATATTTTTAGTAGATCAGTGACCTTACAGGGAAACCCTCTCAACTGATTCCTCGCTTTTCCCTCTAAAGTACCTTTTATCGGTAGTTGTGATGGTGATTACGAATCTAATGTGGGTTTGTCATCATAGAAAATTTTCTCCTGTTCGATTTCCAGTTAAAAACTTTTGTTTTTCGGCTGCAGGTGTCAAGTTATCATTACGTTCTCAAGTAACTCTTTTAAAATTTCAGGTATTTTAGCAACAATCTTGTATTTTTTCACTAAAATTTTGTGGTTTTCCGCTGAAACCTTCCGGTTTTGGGGTAAATTAAAATAAAATGGAACCCGTACCCGACAACCGCATACCCGTACTCAGCCTTAGGGTTGAATCGGGTATGGATCTGGTTGCACTTCTTTAGTCTACAGAGATCAGATCCGTAGAGAACCATCACCATGAACTTCCAACCGGACACAGTCTGATACTTAATAGAACACGTCAAGTTACCACCTAGAAAATGATCAACTTTCTTAGAGTTATAAAACTTAACAAGTTTAATTTAATGAAAATTTGAACTTTCTCAGCTTTTATTTCAGTGAAAGGTGCTCTGTTAAGCGGTTGTATCAGACTGCGTCTGGTTGGAAGCTCATGGCGATGGTTCTCTAGAGATCTGATTTCTGCAGACTCATCAATGAAGGAACTATGATGACAGACGAACATCAGATTCGTAATCAGTATCAAAAACCACCGCTAAAAGATACCAAACGAAAAAGCGAGGAATTAGTTAGGGCAGTTCTATTGTTAGTTGAGCCAGAAAAACGGGTCTTTACGGATTCATAAACATGGGTAGAAGTGTTCTTCTTTTCAGATTAACTTTTTAGTTTAGCTTAAAACGGAGTTGTCAAGGATGCTCTTTGTAGTTTCCTCGGGGCTGACTCAGAGATCCCACCGGTCAACAAAATCTTGACCGGTACCGGCCGATCACCGGTGATCGGCGTAAATGTGGCGACCGGCCGGACCGGCCATGTTTCAAAAACTTTGACGGGTAAGCGACCGGTGTTTTTTCCTTTCTGTTCGATATAAATATGCTATTTTCTGTCATATGTTCTATTTATAAGCCAAGTCAACCGTGCCCGGTCTGGTAGTTTGACCGGACCGGGGACGGGTGCCCGGTCCCTTTGCATCTCTGGGCTGACTCATTGTTTGGATTTGAGTCAGCTTTGAGCCGAGGAGCCCAGCTGACTGTTAAATTGAAAACTCATCGATTAATTGCTATTAATCGCTAAAAACTCGTCGATTTTGACTACATGGGATATTGTTACCAGTTTACCTTATTCAGTCAAAAAGATGAATTAACGTCTACAAAAAGCGCGTGACCCTCTTCTCTGTTCACAAAACGCTGTCTTGTTGGTAAGGATAAACAGTACTGTCCAATTAGATTTTCAATCGGACATGTAAGATCATTTTCGTTTAGATTTGTAAGTCCGTGAGTGGCTAAGCCGGTAATCCTTTATCCTCTACAAATAACTCTGTTCTGTCAGAAGCAGACCAACGTGTCACTAGCATCTTTTTCTACAACTAAGTACTTGGAGATTTTTCTAGAGAGTTCTGACTCTTTTTTTGGTATCTTCAAAGGATTTCTGGAAAACTGTTTCTTTCCTATTTTTTGAAAGGTACAAGACTATGTGTAGGTTCTCATGCTGACCATGAATATGTTCTTTACTTTCTTTCAGTATATGCTAATATAAGTCTGGATATACAGTGGAGTCAGTCTAAAATCCTAAAATGTATCTAAATATTGAGACTTTTTTCCAGGCTTTTTCAATAAAAATAATATATTTGTGATGTACAATGATAGAATTATTTATCATTATTTATTTAATTGTCTTGAAGAAAACGCGAATCCCAAGTCAACTTTTTTGCTTCTGCCGCGTCGCGAGGCGCAATAAAATGTCGCGTCAAGTATGCGTGAAGCGATCGCGATTATGATCGCGAAAATAAGAGTCTTACAATAGTGATTTATTCGCTATTCTTGTACTGTTAGACAACAGCACAAGTCGCGGTCGTTATGACTCATTCATGTCTTTCTCGATCGTGCATAAATCGCTATTTCCGTGATACAAATAAATATCTCTAATTGTTTCAAACTCGCTGTAGAAGTCTTTTCAAATTGAAGAAAACTGCAGATATACCAGTTACGAAATATTTCACCCTACATTTCCAATTACAAGCATCATTACCTATTATAAACTTACGTATAGCAAATAGTTTTGTAACTCTCCTGATCTCTTTCTTATTCTGTATAGTTCATAGGAGAGGGTTTAGTAACTCTACTCGCTCATACATCTTCCGTAGTCGCACATCTTAATAGTCGTCATATCAAGAGAACTTGCACGATTTAATTCTTTTTTTTTCGAAATTGATAAAAATGACAATTATTCATTCTAACTTGTATAAATAAAGAAGAACAAAAGTTCAAGGAGAAGAAATTACACTTACGTTTTCATGCACTACCGGTTCTCTTATTCCTGCAATAAGTAGAAATTAGAGATATTCTCTTTCTAATTTTGGGCTGATACTGTATTCCTGAAAAGAAAACATGTGATTTCTGTATTAGGTCAAAACTAAAAATTTACATGCTAGGAATCATCTGTCAATTTTTTCTTCTTGAACTTTTGTTCTTCTTTATTTATACAAGTTAGAAAAATTGTTATTTTTTCGAAAAAAAGAGTTAAAACGTGTAGGTTGTCTTGATACCAGACGTTCTACAGCAGATGTACGAACGAGTACCTCTCTCAAACATGTTTTTATAAAAACTTCTAAACCCTTACTCGATCTGTATAGTTTCATTTTTCTAAACACTTTTTAGGTTTTTTAGAATAAGCTTTTCTTTTAGAGAGTGTACACAGCATGTTTCAAAGCATATTTTTTATGACGTATTTTCGATCAAGAACGATATAGATTATAATCGAATTCTGAAGTTTTCAGAGTTGAACGCACGCCTACTTCTTGTTTATCTAGGTAATAAGAAATTACCTTGTATTGTTCAGGATGTCAGAATGCTTAGAGTGATGATGGTAGTGATGATGATTTTGATTATGATGATAATGATGATGATGATGATAATGTGCTGTTATGTAAAAATGACATAAAAATTAAATGCAAAGTACAAAAGTGAATTAATAATGTACTAGGTAAACTATTTTGCAGAGTAAGAAATAGATTAAGTTTAATGCATAATTGATCTCGATGAACTATACTATTATCATTATCACCTTGATAATAACAGTTCAGGGTCTAATAGTACATCTAATTTATAATAAAACTATTTATCATGAAACTTTCTTTTGTATTTTAAAATTAAAAATTTATCAACAAAGATCGATTAATTATTCGATCTAACCTCACTAAATATTGTCTTTCAAGTAGGTCAGAAAATACAAGGAAAAGGAGGATAACAGTTTTTTATTTTACTTTTTAATAGACTAGATGATCAAAAGGGACCATCTACTTCAGTACAGAATATTTTGAAGTTGTTATAAATGTCGCATTACTTTTACTCTCTCTCTCTCTCTATACCATTAACCCAATAATCTTTTAATTCGAATAAAGCGGAAGAAATAGGAAAAAAAAAGTTTGATCACGTAGACTATATATACCATTGTTATTTTTTTATTTTTTAAAATTGTCTCCTTGGGGTCCATGGTTCTTCCGGTGGTACTGATAATGATGATGAGATGATTATGACTCTATAGTATAGTCTATATAACATTTTATTTTTC